TTTAGTATATACTAAAACAGTGGATAGTGTTTTTCGCGCGCTCTGATTGGCTACTCAATCAGTGAATATCCTGCACTATTCACTGATTCACCTCCAGTTCCTCTGAGCTAGCGACGGCAAACTCGCGTAAGTTGCAAGCAAAATGCCTTACCGGTTTGCTGCCGTAAACAAACAAAGAAATTTCACAACTAATCAAGCCAGCTGTTTCCGAAATACACGAAGAAGGTGACAAAGTTCGGATTGGAAATTTTAACAAATAAAGCTTTGTCTTTTGAACGAATTTATCGATAAAAACGGGGGAAAAGTTTTTTGTTTACAAATGCAAATTAAGCTGAAGTCTTGCTTACTTTATTTAGTTGAGTTGTTCATAAATAAGCTTACAACTAAATTTAATAATCTTTTTTTATAGAATGATTTTAAATACAAAGAGAATTCACAACTCCTTTTGTAGAAATTTCCCCGCAAGAGCTAAACAAATGCCTTCAAAAGTTTTAGTTGTCGGCAAGAAAAAGCGACAGCCGCGGCCGCCCGGTCATTACGCGCCAAAATTGTAATCGTTGGTAACAGTATTTGATCAGTTAAAAATCGTCATTTTTGTGCTCAATTATCTCACTGTTTTAGTATATACTAAAACAATTATTCACCTCAGTGTCGGTGGCTAGTCGTGGATATTTACCTCACTGCTTCGCAGTTCGGTAAATATCCAGGACTAGCCACCTCCACTTCGGTGAATAATTGTTATTTATTCAAACCGTTCGGCCCAAACTGTTAGTGAGTGAGCTTTAGACGTGAACCTGAAGCACTAATATTATTGTATTATTTTACCTTTAAATTTATAAAAATTTAGCCCAAATGAAGAGACTGTATTGTCAGCCATAACAACTTTGATGTTTCTTACCACACCACAAACACAACCAGGTCAGTCAAAGGAGTGTTGAACATCCTCCATATTTCTGAGCTATTGTAGCCGTAGATTTCAGGTTCAAATCCAGGAATGTTTCTTATTACTGTCGTGTCTTCCAGTAAACTTCATTACAGGCATATTCAAAATGATCACTAGTAAGTAACATACTTTGTGGTGGAGGTGGTACGTTCATAAGCCCACTGGTTTCAGGTAAAAAATTAATATGATTGTATTTTGTGGCAGCAATTTATTTCAGTAGTCAGTTAGGTGCAGTAGAGAGATTTTAAAACTGAAGTTTTAGCAGGTTCACTCCATCTCAAAGGTTTAGTGATAAAAAAAATTATTCAATTATATATGTGCCAGAAATCAGATTTAAGCTAAAACTTAAATAAATACCACAGTGTTTAATTATGTAGAATTAATATGGTATTAAACTTTCTCTTTGTAGTTCAGAGACTGACAGCAATTTTACCCTTCAAGATTCAAGTTACCAAAAGAGATATAGAAAATCTTTATCACCATTACTTTTTTCTTTTCAGAAATCACCTCAGAAGCTATTGTGGACTGCATGGAAAGATTTTCAGCCTCTTCTAATGCAAGGCTCAGTAACTTGGCTAAGGTTTTTCTTCAGGTTAATGTTATCATTATTTTTTGAAGCAAATAAAAATTATCATTTCCATGATTTTCTGCCTTTTGGCCCATGTTCTGCTCAAGGGATCGTCAGAGAGACCAAGCATACATAGAGGATATTACATAGCCATGGAAAGACCTGTACAAAACATGAGAAGAGAAATTTGATATCTCCAAGCGGCCATGTAATGTTCTACCATTATTTATTATATAAACAAGGGTGAAATACCAAATTATCTCGCTTTAAAATAATTTGCTGAAAAAGGTGCAATTTTTCATGTAGCCATAGCAACAGTGATATTTTTAAGTGTGAAGATATTTATATCATAGTTTTACATGTGAAAATATTATGTTTTTACGTGAGAGCTAACCTGGTATTTCATAGGTGATTATATAATAAAAGTATGCATATGACACCCATTTTCCACCCAAAAAACTGCCAGGCATCAATCCTATTGATCAGTGCGTGTGAAATCTCATTGTCTTCTTGTTGTGTCACTGTTTAAATAAATTATTTGATTGAGTATTTATTTTATATTTTATTCGCTCATAGGATTACTGCAAAAGACCTCATTCCATTGAAAAAAGGGATTAGAAGCATGAAGTTACAATGACGAGAAGCTGGTGATCTACAGTTCTACATGTATGTGAATGAACGCCAGAAGTGACCACTGCAAAATATGTACTACACAAGCCTTCTAGTAAACACATGGCCAAGAAGTATGATCAGCCATATTAAAATCATGTCACCAAGAAACATCCCCCTTCTCCTGCTGAAGCAGATGAGTGTCTTACGGCTGGTGTCAAATGCAGTTACAAAACTATGGAGTAAACATCCTTTACACCTGAACATGAAAGCTAGTATGAGCTCATCTTCAAATCCATGATTATTACAGGAACTCCATGAGTGTCAAATGTACGGTAAAATGCTGCTCCAGCAGATTTCAACTCTTGTTGATAACCAGAACTCAACAAGCCCCAGAAATATACCAGTTGCTGGACTCTGAATTGATTTCTTCATCAGCCAGCCCACCATGATTTGAGGCCCAGACCAGGTTCACTTATAGATGCCTAAAAATTGATTAAAATGTTTTATTCTTAACTGTAGTTGCCTTATAATACTGTCACAAAGATTATAATAAAAATGAACGGTTTTCCAACTTCCTCGTGGCATTATTATTATTATTATTATTATCTTGAATGTAAACGTCTCTTGTGTCATTAATATTACATACACTACTATATAACAAACACATCTCCTCCATAGGTTACCTATTACAGGTAATGTTTTAGTGTTTAAAGTACAAATTTTAGTTATGCTTGATTGTTATTTCTATTCTTCCTCTCCCAACATCTTGATTGGTTCTCTGATTGCAGTTGAAAGAATCTATTAACTGCTGTGTCGTTTCTAGAATTATAAGAATTTTTTTTTGCTTGTTGTTGTTAAAACCTCCGAATAACCTAACAATATGTAGGCTCATGATTTGAAGTTTCTGATTAGCTTCACCTCATAATAACCAAAAACAAATTTAATATGCACGTAATCTTTCACTACTGTTGTAATGTCTATAATACAATACATAATTTTATGTAAGGTGAATTGCACAAATCTTAACATAAGGGAAAAAGATTTAATATTAATTACAGTGGAACCCTACCCTGGGTGCCAGAAACTTTTCTAGCGCGGTTTTTGGTTTCTGTCAAGTCTTTATAGTGACCCACGCAAAAAGCTAAGCCACTCGTGGCTTCGGCCTTCTGCCAACACTTTAGTGGAACCCTGCCTTACGGCCACCTCAGTAAAATGGTCACCTCGTTATACTGGCCACTTTTCTTTGACCAGACAAAATGGCCAGACTTTTTTTGTAAAAAATTAACCCTTATTAATACTGTCATGAAATTTGACCCTGCCAGGGGGGGTTACTGCCATATATGGGCTATATAGGTATGTGCCACTGTGAAGGGTATGGTTTTCAAGCAGTTTACTCTTGGATAGGGTATATAAATCAGAACATTTGGGTCTAGAATAGGGTATCATTTTTCAGGAAACTGATCAGTTGGTTGAAGATTTTATCTAGCCTAGGGAAACAGCTACTCTAGGATAGGGGGGATTTGGGGAGTTTACTCTAGTATAGGGTAGCAGAATTTAGCTGAACTAGTTCTGGTATAGGTTAAGGGTTCCAGGACCCCAGCGGCACATCCCCACCCAGAACTTCCTAAAGAATCCCCCCCCCCCGGGGACCCTACCCCTGTAATACAGCCAACCTGTTAATACAGCCAACGTTTTTTACCCTTTGGTGACTGTATTAAGGGGGTTCCAATGTAAATTATAAAAACAATGACAGGACTTACTGTAATAGAGTATGGGGACCTTTTACTGTCAACCTCATCAGTATTTTTCATGTCACCAGTCATCTCAGGCCCCGCAGGACTGAGATCAGTAAATAATTCATCTACAACTCTGAATCTAATCTCCTCATTAATATCCATGAACAAGTCATGTCCTCCTTCATCTGTTGTATATTCCCAAACCCACAACTGTTCATCCTCATCACTGAGTGTGTGGTTAAAGAGAAACAAATCAGCTGCAGTATACACTCTACACTTCAGTGCCTTCCCTATACACTGTATAAACTTGTTCTGCAGTCACAGAACATTAATTATTAATGTTCTGTGACTGCAGAATCAAGTCCTCTTTTAATATATCCTGTCAACATAAAAATATTTTTATAATGAATTTATCATCACCCACAAAAAAAAAGAAAGGAAGGAAGGAACAGAGCAAAGTACATTTTACAATGTGAAAATATCAATGTATAAGTATTAAAAGAGTGAAGAAAAGCAAAAAGTCTTTAACAGTGTCATTAGTAGGGATAAAAGTAAATATAATGTACTGTAATATATATGAATACTAAAAGCACTTAAGGAAATGAAGGGATGTGTGACCTTCAATCTCATGTCAAATCCTCTTGCCACATTACATTAAAGGGAACTGAACTTTTTTTTTATAAAAGGATACAACTTGGAAGGTTGCTGAAGATACTCATAAGGGATAATAATATCATCGAAGAATTCCATAGATACTGTGAAAGAAGAAAAACATTCATTTTCAGGGCTGTGCTCTAGCAGAGCCGGGTGGCCCCTGGCACCTAACTTTTGCCCTCGGGTGACTAGAAAATGGCAGATTTTTCATACAAATCATATGCTGGGCATGCACCCTAGATTTTACAGATTCAGAGCACTGGGCTCCCTTCAATTTTCCTTAGAGCACAGCCTTGATTTTATTGGTGTTTCAAAATGTTTTTGTTTAATGTTCTAATTTCAATGTACTAGCTACATGTACAAAAATATTTTTAACATATAGAGTGCAGATTAGAAAGAAGAATACAGTGACTGAAAAAAAATCACAGAGGTTGAGGAACTAAGGTAGGTAATTGAAGCCATTATCAGTTAAAAGGAAAGAGTTCAGTTTTGGGTATAACAATCTAATATTAATTTTTATCAAATTAAAGACTGATAAATACGAAAGTAAGGTGGTGAATTTTTAAGCTGGGTGGTGAATGAGACAGAAAAAATCTTGGCTCCCTGACAGGATTTAGACCTGTGACCTCCAAAACACCCTGTGAGCAGCACTGTATCCAGCTGCAGAGAGGCTCATAGAGGGCAAAGCCAATGAAGATTCATATGTGACACATGAATAAACTACAAGGATCAGCAATATCAAGAGCATTCATGGTAAATAAAGAAAGATGTACCATTTTTCATCTTATTTCATCATCATACAGTATGCTCTCATCTTTGCTCATGGATGCAGGCCATGTGTCAGATAACAACCTAGTGAGGCCTTTCAAGGGGTGGAAGTGACAGGACACATGGTCCTTAAAACTGGTGACAATCTTCTCAGAAATCACTGACAATCGACAGAAAAGGAGGAAAGAATTCTGACAGTGACAATCTATTTTTTGAGTAGCAAAAGCAACATCTGATGTCTTTTATAATTTGGCTGTTTTGTATTTCGCAGCGAAATAACAATCTCTCTACCATTATTTCCAGACTTTTTCTGTTATTTTCTTTGAATTTTTTTCCACTGTTGGTATTATTGAAGAACGGTCCCTCCAGGGAGATAGTTTAATAACAATATATTAATTCTTTCCAGGCACTATATCTACCATAAAATCTAAATTTGAGAATCACAAAAATTTATGCTGTACCGACAGCAACATTTTCTTCCCAGCTAAAATGCAACAGCAGCATTTTCCTTACCCAGAAGGCCGCAGCATACCCCCCATTGGAAGACCTCCCTAACACATAGCCTGCGAGCCGGCTCACTTGTTTTCCGGCTCTGTAGCCTTCGTTGCAGCCGGCCCACACACTCGTCTAAACCATTAGTATAGCTTAGAGCGTCTGCGACGCCAGGCAACAGCCCTGCCGCCAAAAATTTTCCCCAGACTTGCACACGTGAGCCTGCCCGTAGGCTACCTAGTACATCATAACATGGCCTTAGCTTTGGAATAAATGAATTTTATGACAGCACAGTACCTTGAACACCTTCATGGTTACAGCTGCGAATTCTACCAGTTAGGACTTCATCAATAAATGGACGAAACACAACAAAACGAAACTTAACTAGAACGGAAATTTGGCTGTTTTGTATTTCGCAGCGAAATAACAATCTCTCTACCATTATTTCCAGACTTTTTCTGTTATTTTCTTTGAATTTTTTTCCACTGTTGGTATTATTGAAGAACGGTCCCTCCAGGGAGAAAGTTTAATAACAATATATTAATTCTTTCCAGGCACTATATCTACCGTAAATTCTAAATTTGAGAATCACAAAAATTTATGCTGTACCAACAGCAACATTTTCTTCCCAGCTAAAACGCAACAGCAGCATTTTTCTTAACCTACAAGGCCGCAGCATCCCCCCCATTGGAAGACCTCCCTAACACATAGCCTGCGAGCCGGCTCACTTGTTTTCCGGCTCTGTAGCCTTCGTTGCAGCCGGCCCACACACTCGTCTAAACCATTTGTATAGTTTAGAGCATCTGCGACGCCAGGCAACAGCTCTGCCGCCAAAAATTTTCCCCAGACTTGCACACGTGAGCCTGCCCGTAGGCTACCTAGTACATCATAACATGGCCTTAGCTTTGGAATAAATGAATTTTATGACATCATAGTACCTTGAACACCTTCATGGTTACAGCTGCGAATTCTACCAGTTAGGACTTCATCAATAAATGGACGAAACACAACAAAACGAAACTTAACTAGAACGGAAGTGATATGTTCATCATCAGCAAATCTACCCTCAGATCCTTTGTGCAGATTTAAACATTCAATGTTCTTACGATTTGATCTTGCAATTTTAACTTTCAATTTGCAAATTTCTTACAGCCATACTTACCTGGAGTATGCGAAGATCCATCTCCAGGAAAAAGATAAGAATCACCAATGGAGGTGATATCGTGTAAAACGATACACAAACCAACGTTGTGGACAACCTGACGACAATACACATGAAAGGTGATGAGCTTGATGTTTCAGTAGCACCAAGCACCCCTATATCGGCTTACCTTGTTAGCAAGCTTTTTATTCAACTTATTGGCGATAGCTTCTCGTAGATCTACTCCAAAATGCCATGGTTTTATTCGAACAGTGTCCTTCATCTCAGCTAAGACGAACATTTTAATTCGAGTTGATGCGGACAATTACTAACAGGCGTTCCATAAATGCAGACTAGGAGGACTGGGACTAAGTCTACTTTGGGGAGGACGGGAGGAACTGGGGTCTAAATAAGGCCAAAAATTCTGGGCACTACGGGTAAACTGTGGGTAAAACTGCGGGTCTTGCGGGCTTCGTTCAGAAAACTGTGAACACAAAAATAATTGAGAAGTATTATTACCGGAAATCCGCTATCAACCCACCCGGGGGGCTTCTTTATTTCAAACACATTTGAGGGGCAGGGAACGCTTAATAGAGACGGGGGGCTTATCTGAGAGGAGAGGGGGCTCATTTAATTAAGCAACGATGATGGTATCAGTTCTACATAAAGAACTAGAGTACAAAGTGAAAAGGCTCAAGTACAAGAAGCTGAAGGTCATGCAGTCGAGGATAAAAAACAAATGCGAACTTCCAGAGGGCCCATTTCTAGAACGGGGTATCAGTTTTAGGACGAATTCTAGAACGGGGTATAAAAAATTGGCCCATTTCTAGAACGGGGTATCAATTTTAGGGGAATTTTTTTTTAGAACGGGGTGCCAATTTGGAGTCCCGGGCGGCACATACCCACCCAAAAAATACCCAAGTGCCCCCCCCCCCGGGGGTTTACATGCGGTTGCCGGATTTGCGACGCATTGCGCGAATGGCCATGGCGCGTTCCACCCGAGAAGCAAAGTTTGAAGAAGTACAACGCCACTATATCAATATATATCAATCTAATTTTTTGTTATGTTATATAAAATTTATCCTCCTTTAACATATGTAAAAATTGAGGTTAAGAAGTGTTAAGCTTTTGCAAACGAAACGGCGAAAGACGATTAGGTGATATTTAGTGGAAGGAGGAGGTATTCAACACTTTCAAATTAAACTCAAATTTTGGCATTATACGACGAACAAGTTTGACTTATAGACGTACAGACACAAACATTTGAAACTGTTTATTGATATTGTTATGAAACGAATTTATCTATTTAACATTGTAGCCTGAAATTACAGGAAGAAAATAGGATTTCCGGTTTGCAAAAAGGAAAATTTCGCCGGCCTTGAAGCGCACCGGAAGCACGGAAAGAGCGCTCGTGCCAGTCCTACTCCGCATCACACATTAAATGAAGAGCGGAGCGCTCGTTTCACCGCCCAACCTTTATCCGCCCTGCTCGCTAACTCGAACCAAACTCGATTTCCCCTGGATTTCCTTCATACATTCACTGTAATTTTACCTTCGGTAACTCGAACCCTCAATAACTCGCGAACTCCCGTTAACTCGATCCAATCAGGTCATTTTCTATATAATTTACCCTCGATAACTCGAATCATGTTTTCAGTCCTTAAAAAGTCGGGAAAAAAGCCGTCTACTGGCGTACGAAACATTGAATTTTGGATTTCCTCTTGACGTGTTGTAGGATAGTTTACTAGTGGAGGCTAATGTTGATTGTCACAGGCTAACGTGAAGCAGCTTTTCTTCTCAAAACAGTAAAATGCATGCTCTGTTTAGGCTATGTTTTGTGGCGTTACCTTCTGATTTATAATCTAAAAGTATCTTTAATCTTCACTTGACATTTCTACAATTAAATGTGATTAAAATGTTCACTGTGCTGTAAAAACTGTTTTTTATCTTACTCTCGGCTATTTTCTCGAACTCCCGGTAACTCGAACTCCCGATAACTCGAACCTTTTTTCGATTTCCCTTGAAGGTTCGAGTTATCGGGAGTCCACTGTATGTAATAGTAGCCGGAGAGGTTTATGATAATGCCATGAGGTTATTATCCTGCGAATTATACATCCGACTCTCACGTCGATCCAGTCATCTATATCCGCCTATGGACGTTTCGCGAGAAAGAGAGCTTTATTCACGGGCTTTGAGAGCATCTCTTTCTTGTAAGAAGAGATGGACGTTTCTTATTTTTGCTCTAGGGATACGATAACTTTCTAATTTCCGAGAAACTCCATATCCCATGAACCTCTGATGAGTCAACCCCCAAGCCGCCTGTCCCGTCTTATAGAGGCCGAGGTCTCGAGTCAGATTATGGACGATAAAAGGTGCGTACGTGTTTTCTCCTATATATAATCTGATTTAAACAGACAATTTCCCTTATTAATTGCATTTTATTCACAAATGCTACAGTATGCTATCTTCACATCGTAACAGTACTGTCAAGAATTTAAGCTGCCTGTCCCTGTCCCAAAGCAATGATTTCGCGTCGTTGTCAGCTGGTTAGCAATTCAACGTTGCAAGGATTTGAGCTCACGAGCCAACTGACAGAGAACACATGGCCCACAACAATTAACCACACAGTAATCATTACAAAGGGAGCCCTGCAAATGCGAAAAGAATGAATTCAGTTGATTAAAAAGGTGGATGAATCACGTTTCCTGTATTGTTGTGTTGACTATTGGTTTCTTAAAAATGGGAAATAAGAATATAACCTGCATATTTTATGAAGATTAAAAAAATAGTAGCCAAACTTCATTTTTGGTAGTTTCCACGAAAATACAACAAAAATTTGTCCATTGAAATAGAACTTTTTAGAAGAACGGGTCGGAAAAGGAATACAACAGACCTTTCCACGGTTTTTTAAACTTAAGACACACATCATCAGTTCCGGAAAACCCGTCGACACCACTGAAAAGAGCATCTTAAACGTAGTAAACCTTCCGAAGTTTGAAAGTGATACATCAGTCTTACAAGCGAGCGAAGATATATCTCCGCAACTGTTGCGAAAATTCAGAGACGTTTTTTTGGTGGGGTGGAAGTTTTTACCCCCCACCAAACAAACGTCGGAGCAAACAAACAGCAGAGCGCCATAGGTAAGGAAATTTTGGTATCTATGCGTCCAAGAATTTTTGGTAGTCACGTGACCGTATGCGCACAAATCTTTTCTTTGGGCCTCTGACATTTTTTTCACTTATAAATTCACAATCTTGGCTTTCAACATGTTCAACTTCCACAACCTCCGCCATGTTTACTTCCTGTCTAGAACTCTAAATTTGCCCCCCGCGCGTCAAACGCGCGCGTTTACTTTCCATCTTCCCGGGGCAGGAAATCGACCAATCACAAGTGTTGTGACGCATGGTAAGTTAAAAATTGAGAGTTTGTTGCAAAAAGTAGAACTCGGGTCTACTCTGCGCAACATGTTGCTGCAACTTGCAACATTGCAATTGAAATTTTTTTCGTGACAGGTTGAGAGCGAAGATGGTAATACGGGCAACAACGCTTATCAACTTGCAATGCAACAATGTTGCGCGACAAGTTGAGCGAAAATGTTGCCCGTATTACTTGGCCTTTGTTACTAAACACGATTTTATTTTTTGTTCATAAGTGTATTAACGAAAGGTTCGATTTTAGCTTTGGCTAAATCTATATATTATATTACTTATAGTACTTTAACTTCAACCTACTCCCCAGCAGAGAGCTGTCGGGACTGAGAAGTGAAAACCTCTGCTTTCATACCTGAATATTTTCCTCCACCCTCAGCTTGATTCTAAGACCCAACAATGAACCTGGGCAGCAGCAGGTATACCAACATGATTCACCCAACTTGGACGCAACATCGCTCAGCAGGGAAAAAGGACAGAACCAACACATCAACACTTGAAACACAAACAAAGATGACGGGGAAATACATCAAGAAGTAAACCTTTTACCGGGGGTTAAACGTGAATTTGTATTTCTCTCCCTCTCGACTTAGGACTTTTCAGAGCTGGGCACGGTTCCTCGAAGGATGGTTAAGTTTAACCCAAGGATAAGACAAATATTAGGCAAAATTTTCTTGCCTAAGAAAAACTAATGAGAGCAAAAAAAAATCAAAAAATGTTAAGTCTTGGCTCTGAGATCTTGTAACGACAACACAAAATGATAATTAGTTCCTCTATGATATAAAAGCGATTTTCGTATGACCTTGAAATGAAAACGCGCGATTGAAAACAGAAACAACAAACGAACGGAAATAGAGCGATTTGATTGGTTTTTAGAACGGAAACAAACGCGCATGGCTTTTGGTTGGTTAAGCGAACGTTCGGATGAAAAAATTTCATGCCCGAGAACTTTAATTTCTAGAAATCAATCGATACTTCGTTTTGACGTCATACTGCAACACGATTGGCCAATCGAATGATGCCTTCTCCATGTTAGGGTTTTCTTTGGCGGGAAAACGAAGAGTCCATGTTTTCATCTTTTCATTCATTGGCTGATAAAATAAATAGGCCAAACGAGAGTCGCTCTATTTAAAAAGGCTGTGTCAGGAGAATGTTGCTGTTGTAGGTCAATTGTCGGTGCTGAAGTCATTACTTCATACTTTTACCCATACACAACTGATATGCTGCTGTAGAATTATCAACAACATATCAAACAAATTCATCCGGGAGCACTATAAACCATTATAATGATTTCTTGACAACTTGAAAAATGTCGTCTAACTCTTTCAAGTTTCAATCCATGTCCTGATCCTTGCCATCCGAAGTAACAAACGAAAGGAAGCAGTTTGAATGCCTAATTATAGTCTTAAATAACAAAACTGGCCCATTGTTCTTGGGATTCGATTATTGATGCGAAGACAAGTTAGTTTTAGCTTAAAACGTTTTTTAAAAGATAGGCAAATAGCGTGACATAGCCTCTTTAAGTTAAGTGCCTTTAGGAAAATACTTACGAGAGCCACAGTCTTGAAAGCAGTCACATAGCCCAGAACTCCAACTTCGTTGAGCCTTTTGTATGACCACTGGTTGCTGATTCAAAACCACAGTAGTGTGGTGAGACTGTTGTATATAGGGGCTGGTTGCTGAGTTACAGCAGGATATGCACCAAGGGGGTATCCTTGTTGATCTGACGGTTGTACGCTGTTAGGGTGTTCCATAATTTGGCTGCTGGGAAATTAAAGAGAAGATAGAGGGCCTTTTCATACAGAAACTGTTATTACCAGTGTGTACGTGAATTCAATAAGGCAGCCAACATAAATTTCCGAAACTGCCACTACAGTCCTAGATTCAAACTATCTTTAACCTGCGAAAGTTAATTGTCAGGATTTAGTCTGTGACACCGGACGGCTCGGAAGGAAAACTATAACTACTTCCCAACTGGAGTCAAACCTATTTACCTTCTGGCTACTAGTCCAGGTGCTCTTACACTGAGCTGTTTGTTAAAATTTTTTATTGAATCTTAAGTGCAATACAATAAACGGAGAGAGAGAGAGAGAGCCTGGAGACACAAACTAAGATAAAAGATGGGTAACAAGGTCAAAGAAAAGATAAAACACTGGCGTAAACGGGATATTACCATACAAATCTAACTGAATAAACACTAAGAAATATGAACTGAATTTACCAAAATTGTATGCGGCTAAAGGCTCAAAGATTCTCGAACTGATTACACATAAGGCTCTATAGATAATTGATTTGTTTTTCAGAAAAAAGGCTAAGAAACTCAGTATACGGGTCGCTTTCTTTGTTCGCGGAGTAGATATAAAAACTAGCCACTATCAGGCAGATTTTGAACGTACGGAAGGACCGTTTCTCAGGGTCATGCATATCCGTTACCTTTTTTTTGTCAAAGACACTATGGGCGAGTTACTGCCGTTCCACCAAGAGGCAAAAAGGTTCCAGAAGGACTGAACATGCTGATTACGACATTCTATAAACAGGTGTTCTAAGGTCTGTTTCAATCCACACACTTGAAACCCGTATCTTGTCAATAATTGGTACTGACGGAATCTTTTGTCGCGAGTGTACAGGAGTTGAATGTTTATTTAAAGCTGACTGAAACACAAAAAGCTGTTATTTTTATTCGTGACTTTGAATAGAAAAAACTTATTGTTTGATCTGTGAATCCAACGTTAATAAGACGAGCTTCTGATGTACTGGTATTTGGAAAGATTTGTTTGGATACATAAAACGAGCGGGCTTGCCAGCAAGTCGGAGGTAAGTTCCTAAATGGCTGAAC